TTCTCCCGCGAAAGTAATAGATTCTACTAGTCCCCCACTTTGAACGACAACAAAGTGCTAATCGTTTTATTACTTTGTTTTCAAAAACTCCCTTATCTGTCAGTAGTGAGTTAAATGACTAACAAATTGTTTTTGCACTCGGGGGAATGTTTTCTTTTAAATTTAACAACTAGTATTGACAGTAATGAAGTCTATAATTTTGTTTTTAATAATTAAAAAAATATTGATAAAATAGCCAAATAAATGTTCGGGTCACAATTACTAAATGGTATTGCTACGTAATAAACATAGATTTTAATTGTTGCAAAATTGAAAGTATTAAATTTGTAAATAGCGTCCCAACTGAATAAAGTAATGAATAATCTGCCAAGTATTGAATAATGTCACCGTAGTGTGTCTGTAAAAAAGCAAAGTAAACTACAACACGGTTTCATCAGAATCAAAAGTATTAAATTTCTTATCGTGTTATGATCGCGAGACAGCACAGCGATAACACCGAGCGAGAAAATCGCGTTGTCAAAAAAGCTGCAATAACTTATTTGAAATTAATTGGGATTTGGCCGGTCATTGAAACCAGGAGAAAAAGATAGAATGTGTAGTATTATGGTAAAGGTTAAACGTTCCACATTGTTATTTTATTCAATTGCAATTGTGCTCATAATAATCGCGAGAATACAGAGCTCTCACTCTGCCAGATAATTCACTGCAGGTGGTAGTAAGGAATTGTTTTTCGCAAAATTTCTGTAAATATATATATATATATATATACAAATTTTTAAAACCTATGTTGGAATCACTTCAGAACATATCAATTGAGGATTACTACAAAGCCCGCAGTTCAACAATTATTTATTTTTGAGACATATAAACAAAAAAAAACTAATAAGCAGGCTTAAATTAATAAATATAAATGCATTCTGGCATTCTGACAGTTTATGAGTTAATCATATTTTCTATTTGTAAAATTTCTTCAATCTTAACACAAAATAAGAAAAAAGTGAACTTTTAAAAAAATTGCGGGATTTCCTGGGATGAGAAAAATTTCCCGGGATATT